GGCGCGATTCGGTAAATAATCGACAGTTGAGGGGCGAAATCTGCAAAGCTTGGGAATTCACGGGCCATTTTTTAGAATTTCCGGAAGAAGGTCCGTTTCGGGGGTGGAGAAAAGGTCATTTTGGTTTTTTTCTTCTTTTCTTTTTTTGTTCGAAAAAGCGTGACTTTTTTTTAGTTTATAGGCCCGAAAATCATTATAAAATGATTGGGCCGTGCGGTTCAGTGGCTCCATATTTATTTATTTTTTATTTTTATTTTTTGGATGCGTCATAAATTTGGAAAAAAATTTATGACACCGTAGGGCAAGCAATACTGCATACGACATACTTATGACACGACGTAAAACGCAAGTTATAGGGAGAAAACGCGAATATTCTGGCTTTGTACGATGACACGAGTTTTCGCGTTTATATTGTAATTCGATTGTTTGGCATGTAAAATCAATCAAGATGTTTTAGATTGACACGGGTTACAAACACGATTATGACGGACCGATACGAATTGTCAGCTTTACATAAACGATCCCGCCTTTAGCAAAATTATGCGTATGTGCAGCCTCATGTGTGCGCAACCAAGCAACGTGCGACTTATTCCCTAATGTCTCTAATTATCGGATGAGTTTAATGAAATTCATTCTCGTGGTCTCACGACCTCACTTCTGACCCAATGATCACTTACATACCTTTTATTGGGAAAATTCCAATTAAGGACATCAAGTGGGGCCTTTTTCTCAAAAGAGGACCCCAAGTGAATTTAGTGTCAAATAAGGGCATGAAGTGCCCAATCAGTCTCAAATAAAGACCCGAAGTGCCCAAAAAGTCTCAAATAAGGGCCTGGGTCGCCGGCCGGCCAAAATGCCTGCCAGCTGGCAAGAATGTTACTATTCCGGCACCGGAATAGTAACTTTTTAATTTTTTTTATTATTTTTTCCTTTATGTTTTTCCTTTTCTGTTTTTTTTTCTTTTCCTTTTCCTTTTCTTTTTTTTTTCTTCTCTTCCTCCGCCGGCCAAAGCCGGGGCCGGCGGAGGTCGCCGGCCTCAGGCAAGGCCGCCCTCGCCTGGGCTGGGCGAGGTCGGCCTCGCCAGTTGCCGGCGAGGGCTCGACCTCGCTGGCCGCTGCCGAGGCTCGACCTTGCCGACAACTGGCGAGGCTCGACCTCGCCGTTGGGCGAGGTCGAGCCTCGCCAGATCTGGCGTGGGCTCGGCCCCGCCGGCCACTGGCGAGGCTCAACCTCGCCGACGTCAGGCGAGGCCGGTCTCACCTTTGCAAGCAAGGCCGGCCTCGCCCGACGCCGGCGAGGTCGAGCCCTCGCCGAACCGGCCGAGCTCGACCTCGTCGTTGCCGGGCGAGGTCGAACCCTCGCCCGGAACCGGCCGGGCTCGACCTCGACTGCTGGGCTTGGCGAGGTCGAGCCTCGCCCGTATCTAGCGAGGGCTCGGCCCCGTGCCGGGCGAGGCTCGACCTCGCCGTAAGAACCGGCGAGGGCGCCTCGCCCGACGCCGGCGAGGGCGGCCTCGCCCGAGGCCAACGACCTCTGCCGGCCCCGGCTATGGCCGGCGGAGGAAGAGAAGAAAAAAAAAAGGAAAAGAAAAAAAAATTAAAAAGTTACTGTTCCAGTGCCGGAATAGTAACATTCTTGCCGGCCGGCAAGCATTTTGGCCGCCCCGCGACCTAGGCCCTTATTTGAGACTTTTTGGGCACTTCGGGTCCTTATTTGACACTAAATCCACTTGGAGTCCTCTTTTGAAAAAAAGGCCCCACTTGGGGTCCTTAATTGAAATTTTCCCCATTTTATTTGCAAGTGCAACGTTCACGCGCCTTTAAGAAAAAACGCCCACATTGAAAAGAACAAATTCTCCATCTTTGCAAGCTTATTTTAACATCATGCTTAGGGGTGAGAGAATCCAGAATTTGGACACCTTTCGTATATAAGGACAAAAGTATAATTAATGTGAAGGTGCAAAGTAGTTTTCGAAAGATAAAACTTGTGTATATTCAGTAGTTTCAAAAATAGATGTAATATATGTAAGCAGTCATTGGGTAGAAGAAAATGTATATATTTTTTTTTATATTTTTCCTTTTTTTTAAATGACACTAGTAATAGGTAAAATGTGAACTTCAAAAAATACTCGGATTAATTTTTAGCTACTTTTCGAGGGAAAAATGAAGAAAATTGCTCGTAGGGAATAATGCGTGTATAAACTAGTCCAAGCAAGTTTGGCATTTAAACGACTTAAGCAAGTCATTTAAAGGCTCCATCTCAGGCTTCGTTCGGATCTCGGGATCCTCAGGATGTAAAACTTCTAAAGGGTATTCCCTCTCTTTGGGAAAAATAAAGATTCGAGGGAACCTGGGGGATGCGAAGCATGCGGACACCGGCACGTTAAAATACGGAACACATCCATAGAGCCCGCCTCACAGGATGGAAACAGGCCACGGAGGCTCTCGTAGGAGCTTTTAACTACTTTTCCAGGGAAAAAAATGAAGAAAATGGGAATAATGTGTGTATAAACTAGTCCAAGCAAGTTTGGCAGGTACATGGAAAGGATTTTTCTTCTAAAAGAATTTAGGGTGATGATGGGGGTGTTGAACCTGCTGTTGATGACAATTGACAATGGATCTTTTGAGCAACGTCAAAAAAGAGTGATTACCAACCAGTGGTGTTGGCGCTAATCATGTCGGCCTAACGAACGCGATGGTTGGATCACAAAGGCATGTCCATTTTTACAAAAAACGATTCATCCATCGAATGTCCATTTCGAAAACTTAATTTGATAGGTGTGCAGGACAAATAATTCAACATCACGAGAAATGGGCAGATCGAATTAGCAGCGACGCGTGGAAAATGACTTATGAAGGATGGACACAAATAAGCGAAATTGATGGCATTAGCTCCGATATCGCATTAGAATATTCAGCTCAAAAACTTAATCTGATAAATAGAGAGAGATCACATGAATATAAAAAGTATACAAGACACGTTGTCAAGCGATGTGTGACGATATTTCAAGAGAAAGCGTAACTTGTTTGGCAACAAACGTTTCACATCGCACTTTTTCTAACGTTTAGCATGTACCTCCAATGTTGACGCCGTCTTAGTCTTATTTCGTGGATTACAATTGAAAATCTCGATGATCACTTCCGATCTAGCCATCGAGTTTGGACCCTTTTCTCTGCACGAATTAAAAAAAGCATGTCTCATAGTTAATTGGAACATCACCCGACCGCCAGACTGAGAAAACGTCGCATCCGCCTATACAACATTATTTACCAAACTAGCAATGGTGATGCATCGACGTCAAACCTACCAATACCACCCAAAATGCCTGGCAGAATAAACTATCTTTGCTTCCAAGACCGAAAATTCGATTGTGGATTTCACGCTCTAGGAACTGTGTGAGTCATTATTAAAGATGCCCTTCAATTGTCAACCTCGATGAAGTTAGGCGCATGACAACATAGATCTATGCCAAACTGCTAGGACCACCAAATTGGGAATAATCAAAAGAGGTGGCTTTTCTACCACACGTATACCAAAAAAAAAAAGAAAAAATGCAATCAGATGCTCGTGCCGTGCTTAATTGTCCTTGCTTTCGAAAGAACGCGCGCATGGAATTTGCCTCGAGCTGCTGCCGACGCGTGTTTTAGCGATCGAACAGCAGAAATTGTTCATCGAAACGCGCGGGGCCCCATGTCACGTGACTTGGTCAATAGAGAATTTCATTAAAGATGTGGGGAAAAAATAACGACGATTAGTAGCTAATTAATTACATGCCAATATGACAGAAGGAAATGCTGCCTTGGTAGGCCCAAAAGTCCAGGCGTTGATTCTGGGCTAGGCCCATAATGTTCTGACTTCATGGGCCAAGTGACTCGAGAAACAACCCATGGTCCACGAGGATCTCCATCAATTGTAGCAGTATCTTGTCTCGTGCCCGATGAGTCACTATTCGGGCACCCGAGTCCGAGTTCATCGAGGCAATTTCATGAGAAGACGCGAGTGTAGCGATCCGAAAATATCGATTTATGTACCCGAGTTTTATCTTTGGAGATCGTTTTGTGCTTCCGCATCAATTGTCTTTATGTCCCTATTCGAAATTCCATTTTTCTTTTCTGAAGTGCTTATCCCCAAATCCCCTATTCTCACTCCCACTTAAAATTCATACAAAATCATCTAAAAAAGCCTCAATCTCCCGAGCCCCGAGCAAGATGCTAAAATGAGTTTGTAAAAGATAGGTAATTTGGTCTTTTCGATGTAAGTGGCTAGCAGGTCATAAGTGAAGTACACTTTTAGTATTTTCCCTGCATATAACACAAAAAATGTTTGCTAATATATATAACAACATAACCTTCTGGACCTTACCAAAAAAAAAAAAAAACATAACCTTATGATATTCCTGGAGGCATTACCAAGTGAACATATACGACAACCGACAAAAGCTCGTCCAAAGACGCTCGTTCTCGAGCAGTCAATGTGCATAATCTACTTGCTGGTTCCAAAACGATCAGCCTTACAAGATTGTGAAGTTTAGGTCATGTAAATCCCAAAGAGGCCTCTCGTGCGGTCTAGTGACAAACGGGAATCCCTAAAGCCCTCGGCTCAAGACGACACCTACCTCTTTATTTACCAAATAGCTCATCGATTGATTACACATAACTAATGACATCACCAAACTCAAAAGACGAATGATTTTTCTGTAGGTCGCTTATTACAAACACGAAACTCTACATATGTAACCTAGGTGCTATCATATGTATAAAATCATGCAAATTTGGACCTCTATTGCGCACTAAATTAATCTCACATTCTTGACATCGTCGTACAACACATGATGTGAATGTTCAAATAGAATCTAGTCACATACCTTGAGGCATGATTAAGCCTTAACATTGCTCGACTTGTATTTTGTTACCAACAAGGATGACATGATCCCAGGTCATTAGGAACACCAAAGCACTTTCAAACCTCATTCGTAGGAGAAAGAGAAGCCCCATTTGCACTTGCAGGAAACGAACAATCTTTTGCAAATAAAGCATAGCCCACCATCACCATCACCATCACATCAGATCGACTCTAGTCAAGTTCAAGACAGCACCAGGGGGTGAAACGTGGCCACAAACATCCTTAAATTACACGAGTTTCTACAGTAATGTTCTCTCTTCCTAGTCCCTCCTACTTTGTGTGATCATCATTCCCAGTATCCTCAAGCTAGAACATATGACGCTTCAAAACCCATACTAAATCCTCCATTCCAAGCAAGATTCAAAAGAAAAGAGGGGAAAACATATCATCATGCTCCTCCTAACTTCTTCCCCAGAAAATTCTTGAAAGAATAGCGAAAGGGGTTATCAAAAACAAAAAGAAAGAGAGTGAAGAAAAGGAGAGCGCTCAGAGGAACAGGAAAGGCCTCCTGATGTTCCCCGAGGACTTGTCCTGAGCATCGCTCGAATCTCTCTGATCCGCCCAGTTCTCGACCATGCTGGGGAGCACCACCACCGTCGACGGCCCGAGGACGTATCTCTGGGTGAGCCTCTGGCAGGTGTTGCAGAGCAAGCACCGGATGTGCCTCTGGGCCAAGAAGTTGGCCTCGTGAACCCACCGGTCGCACTGCCGGCACAGGTAGGCGTCGTCGGCCTGGCAATACAGGCACGCCCTCGATCCGCACAGCTCGCACGCGACCGAGGCCTTGTTGGGTGGCGGTTTACACGGAGACTCTTCTTTGAGGAACGACCCGCCAGGGCTGCTGTTCTCTCTTCCAATGCCTCTGCACATCTCGAACTTCGGAAGCTTTTCGAGAGAGATGGAAGGAGGGTGAGCTGCAGAGAACTGCTTGGACGGTTATACGAAAAGATTTGAATGGAATTGGAGGAGGTGAGGGTGAAACTGCGAGGGTATATACGGTGCTCCTTCCGGGATCATGTGGTGGGATAAAGTTGATGGGGGGGCTTCGTCCAGGAATTCCTGGGGCCGAAATGACGGGAACGCCCTCCGCTCCATGACAAGGAGTGGTCGCTGTCCTGCGATCTCTTCCTTCAGGTTCACACTTCCTGGTCTCCAACTCCGCCACCTCATAGGCTTTCCCTGATTTCTTGTCGAGTTATTACTGACGAGTCCGGTCCCCAGTCGCGATTCAAACTTGTGATGGAGAAGAGAGCGGCGCTGGTGAGTTACGTGTCGAAGCAGCTCAATCTCAAGAGGAGTCCTTAAGCTGACTTTTGAGGACGATGCTCAATTATTTCTGTCATTAGTCAAGCTAGGAATAAAGTTCTCAAAGTATGCAATTGTTAGGTCGGAATTTCTCTCGGGGCGAAAAATATTTCACCCGAGAGTCATTCTCCGATTTTTAATTAAAGGAGATTAGGGTTCCATACCAACTTCGGACGGGAAATGTCCGGGTGAACGAGAGAATCGACGGTCTTATACGGAACGGGACTGTACAAACACAAATTGTGCCAGAACTCAATCGATGACGCACTGGGAAATATACAGGCTTGAGAAAGTAACCAAAAGTAAATAAACTATGCCGGAATTTAATCAACGACACAACTTGAGAACATAAAAGAATTTAACCGACGACACAACACCTGGGATAGAGATTACACGCCGAAATTTAATCGACGACGCGAATCAGAAAGCTATAGCTATGAAAATAAAGTGCAATGTAGGATAGTAAAGTACTAAAATATAGTAAATTTGTTTGATTTGTACCGGAGGCTTTCTAGTAGACGATCGATGGTATTTATAATGATCCCAGGAAAACTACTTTCCGACAGTTTCTAGTGGTTACATTTCCTTTAGTGGTTTCCATTGATTGCTTCCATGTTTCCTGAAAATCCAACGCCCACGCTCTCATGATATTACGGTTCCGCTTTCAAACGGTTGCTTTTTGATATGCTGCATGTAAAATGCCCCATAATCTTATTTTCGATGGTTGTTGCCTCTCCCACGAACTTGTTTTAAAGTTATCCGTAAATCCATTTCTCCTCGATTTCAACCACTTTGCTGATTTTGAATTTTGTGATCGCGCTTCGACGCTCTTCAAGTAGACTTCTATCGATGCCTCTACCATCCTAATTGCTCTGTCTTAACTAGTGGCTCTATTCTTATGTTCTTCATCAGCATTCTGCAATTCGCCCATCGTTAGTACCTACATCAATAGTTACTAGTTGTTCATTGTTGTATATCAACAACTGAATATGCATAATAGATGTGTACCGATGTCGACCAACAAATGTCAATCTCTACGGTCGTCGATAATATGTCACATGCATAATAATTTTCACATATTACTCACATGACCGTACATGCTTGTCCAACTTGATTATTTTTTTTTGTGTAAACTACAATAGATTTTGACTATTTTGCAATGAAGAAATTAATCGCCGTGAAGTATATTCTTATAGATGGAGAGTTAGTGGAACATTGTAGCACACCTCTTGTTAATGATAATCTATGTTAGCCCTTTGAGCATAAGATGTGGTTGTTGATACACCAACTTTGACAAAAGCACAAAAGGGCTTTCGAATTGCAACATGATCAAAGACTAATTAAGCTTCCAAGCTTTGGAGTGATTCTTGGGAGGTCCATCGTGAGCCATGATGATCTTTCCCTCTCCCCCTCTCCCCTTATTTGAGTGGTTACCAAGTCAATTGGGTTCCCAAAGTAGAGAAGAGATTGTATGGCCCCAAATTAAAGCCACCCCCAAAGTGGTACCCCACCAACCCCCCTCCAAAACGAAAGGGTTGTTGTCAAGCCAAACCATGGGACAAAGAAGAGCTCATGAAGGGTTGAGAAAGGAGAACTAAGAAATTTGATTTGACCCCAATTTCACTTCCAACTTTCTTCGATTCTATTCCATTTTTCCCGCGCATGACTTAACATGGGTCATGACTCGATGCCCTCAATTCCATGCATATTGATACGTGGACTGCTCTGAGTGGGAAAGATCTCCTGGTCCACTTATTATTATTGCCCTCGCGTCCATGAAGCGGTCCACTTGTATGGTGGAGAAGAGACGCTCTAGAGGCCCAAGCCACTTATTGCACCATCCAATCCTACTACTACTAACAGAAATATCACCTCACCCCTAAGGGCAAAAGCCAACCACGACCACTCGTTAATTTCTAGATTGGAGCAACAACATGCAACATTATTGCCCCAGAAAGAAGAAAAAAAATCGAAATATATAAGGAAAAAAAAGGTAAGGTAGAGAGGGGGGGGGGGGGCAGCATAGCATAATGAGGCGATTTTGCATTGATGGTGTTTGCAAACGGGAGAGGCTAGGCTTTCCGGGGTGGGCCACGGCTGCAGAAGAAACTTGTGATGGGGAAGGAGGTGCATAGCTGTTGATCGTAGGGTACGGATTGCGTCTCGATCACTAAAGGCACACGATCGATCCACGAAGAGCTTGGAACGTGTCGAGCGGAGAGAACCTCGACACTGCCGTGTCGCTTCCTTTGGCCGAACGCGCGCGCGCGAGACAGACAGGGACGTTCCCGCTCGGACGCGATCGGACGCGAACATTGAATATCCGCAGCTGCCGCGCAACACGACGGACGTGGGGAGGACCGCGTTGCAAAAACATTGTATGGGGACGAAAGGGAGACGGTCCCCACGGGGTGGATACGGGCCGGGTCCTTTTTGGACCTGTTCACGTTGTTGGGCCTGAGTGTGGGCTCGACGGACCGGTCGATCCATCGAGCCCAAAGTAGATTGTTTGGGCAATTGTCGGTGTCGACCTGTCGTGGCCCGCAATGTCGTGTTGACTTGACCGGTAGTTAATAAGGAAGAGCAACCGTGCCGGTTCAACCTAAGAAACCGAACTGAACAGGTCCTCGGATAAAAGAATTTTGGGAACCGATCAGTTTAGTTTCGGGCCGGTTCTAGGGTCAATTGCTTTGGTTCCTAGCCTGAAAACTGCCCACCTTGGACCGATTACCCTTGGCCTAACCAATGTGATATGAAATAGATTTTTTCTTCTAACTTTTTGAATTTTAAATCCTAAACTGCATATTATATGGGCCTGTTTGGTTCAGCTTTTAGGAAATTCATTTGGCAAAATACAAAGACCTTTGAGCTAAAAGGGTTTTCCGAAATGCAAGTAGTGTTTGGTAATGTGTATTTTAAAATCACATTTGAATGCAACTTTGGCCTAAATACCGTTTGGTAAAAATTATTTATAAAAGACTTTTGCTGATATTAAAAAAAAAAAAAGCTGGCCACCGACCACCACCGCCGACCACCACCGTCGGCCATATCTGGTCGCCGGCCAGCCTCGCCTAACCTCCGGTGAGGCGGCCTGAGGTCACGCGACCTCAGGCGGCGGTCGTTGGGGCGCTAGCCCTCAGGCGGTGGTCGCCGGCCGACGGACTAGCCGCTCGGGAAGACGATGAACAGTGATGATGAACAGTACCGATTGCATTCCGAAAATGCAACTTGCCAAGGCTCCTCATGAGCTCCCTTCAGCCAAAGGTCCTTGGAAAGCTTTGGAGATACAATTGAATCTCCACAAAGCTGGCTAAAAAATTTACCAAATAATTTTGCATTCACTCAAGGGACTTTAGACCCCCAAAGTAGCATTTGAAAGCTGAACCAAACAGGCCCTATATCTATTAAGGTGCAAGGAGTTTCTACAGTAGTCGGCTGACGTGTTCAAATTTGAAGATTTTAAATTTCTGTTGAGTTTTTTTTTTCCTTTTCCATCTTTTGGGGTAGATAGGAACTCTATAGCTACACAACTTGCTCAACCAATGTAGTATGAGATGGCTATTTTTTCAATCTTTTCTAATTCTAAATATTAGCATTACTTCTTGAAAAATTGTCAAGTTTGAGAAATCCAAGACTTCGTCTGACATATTATCAAAATTTTATTGGCAGATGAAAATCGTCGATTTGATGGAACCGAGCAATTAGACAAGCGAAGATAACTTCTTCAAAAATCCACCATTCAGCACGAATAACTTCTCGTAAAAACCAATCATGAATCAGTGATGAAAATCGCACATGTGAATATTCTTATAGTATAACGACGTTGATCATTTGCATTGCAATAAATCTGACAAACATTGCTCATTTGCTATATAGAGTGAAGCTACTCTTTGATCAAAGAAGTTCAAAACTACACTTTCATGGCGTGTCAACCGATTCTTTCGTGCTATCCATTTCTAGTAGTCATCTCGCTACAGTTAAGGCAAGAACAAGAAATCATACCAAGAACTTGTTCACTAAAACGGCCTAATCTTGCGAATAAATCCAACTGTTTTTGTCCTTCGACGACAACCCAATTAAAATCCATAACCACCAAAGAGAAATTAATTTTCTTTTATGGAATTCATTATATTCATAAGATTACTATTACAGAATAGGGCAAAAGCCACCAAGAAACTAAACCATGCCCATTGTTATATCTATTATCCATTTTCTAGAAGTGATTTCTGATAAGATCATCAAGAAATTTGGATAAGAAGTGATTGTCTCATTCTGTTGGTCTTCTTCCTTTTCTTTTCCTTTCATGATTGTTAATTTAATATCTGAAATTTTCTTTTGCATTTCTATTTGGGTCGATTTGAGAGCTTGAATTTCTAATCTTTGCTCGTTGATTTCATTGTTGAGGTCATTAAAGTTAATAAGGCCTGATTGAATTTTCTTGTTTCTGTTAAGAATATCTTTTAAGTTATAGGAAATGCTGGTTTTAGGATAAATTTTCATGGAGAATTGGAGTCTATCTTAGTATTCTTGCTTGACTACGAGATCTGATATTCTATCAACAGTATTAAAAAGAAATTCTTCTTTTTTGTTAACATATTTATCTCAGGTATTGGTTTATTTGAAGAGGGATCATCAGCTTCTGATTAGAAGAAGTTTCGATTTCGTTTATTTGGCAGTCTCTCT